AAATGCCAAAAATTATTCAATTATATGCTTTAAAATGTGCAATTTATTGTATGTCAATTATACCTCAATAAAGCTATTAGAAAGAATGATCCAACAATAATCAATATATTTATTAGCTAAATAAGAACTCATCTTTTTCTTTTTAAATCTAGAAGGCTGAACTGTTACCTTGCCATAGATGATGAAAAGTAACATTTAGTCACTATATATATGCCAGGCATTATGTTAGCCACTTTACATGTGCTAACTTAGTGTCATTATCTTAAAGCTATCAGTTATATATATATATAAAAAAAGGGGGGGGGGAGATAAGAGGAAACTTTTGAAACTAGACAAGGTTTTATTTCTTTAAAAAATAATAACTCTTAACTTCCAGTTCCTACATATCAAATATATAGCAGTATTTTCAGAATCAAGTTCTATAAATTCAGCTGGAATTGTCCTATAGTGGGAACACATGCCTGAAAAAAGTTTACACTGGATGTTTGAATATGTTATATATTTGGATCCACTGAATTGTATAAGTACCCTAAATAAATGGCAGTTCAATCTAAGGGTTAAAAATATAGTTCTGATGGAACCAAATCAAAATCAAAATCCTGTGTAACTGGCAATACTCAATTACTTTATGTGAATCTTGTACCTGTTTCCAAAAAAGGGTCTGAAGTGTCTCTCCTATACTAGTACACTATATTTTGACAAGGTTTCCAAACCTCAGCACCATTGACATCTAAAGCTAGAATATTGTTGTGAGAGATTATCCTGTGCATCGTAAGATTCCCCCCGCCTTCCCCCCAACATTCCTGCTACCTACTAGATGCTGGAAGCACCTCTCCCAAGTTTTGACAAGCAAAAATGTTTCCAAACATGAACCTCCTCAAAGCCTAGGGCAGGGAATCTGAAATCACAATGTTCTCTATTTGAAGATTCTTAAGGATATTTTAAATGTTTTTATACAGTATATGCTCTATTTTTTTTAAAAAAGCCCATAAGTTACTAAAAGGTAACAGGATTTTTTTTTAATTGTTGTTTTGTTTTCAAACCAAGGAAACCAGGCCATACCAAATATGAGATATGCATGACCACTTAATTTAGACCTTGTCTCCTCTCTCATGGAAGAAATTTCTCTGTCAAAAAAGTATATATGAGCCATTCTTTCACTGTAAAATTAAAGAACTATGGCTTAATTTAGGAAATGTCAATGCTCCACTGGAATTCAACTTTATAGTTCTGCCATTACTCAACCTACAATTTATCCCAAGTAGGTGCCAAATTCCATGAAGTCTTCATTATCTGTGATACATCTCCTACACTCACACATTCTTTTCCTCACTCTCTCAGCCAAATGTTTTCTTCAATGAGTTAATTCTCAAGTAGAGTGAATATCATAAATTAAAGGATCACAATCTCAACTACATTTAGAAAATTTATATTTTCTTGAAAACTGGGCTTCTTTTTATACCACTAAACTGTATTTAATTGTTTTCTTTCTATTCCACAGGAATAAGTACAACTTACTTGTGATAAAGATTTGCTGTCATAAATGTAGGAAAAGTAAAAAAACATATTGGAGATATGAAATCCTGGCTCCATTTCTGGCTCTGCCTCTAGTACCTGGATGACCGCTTAACATTCCCAAACGTCAGCTCTCTCATTAGTAAAAAAAAAAAAAAAAAAAAAAAAAAGGAGGATAATATCTACCTGTAGGGTTATTGTGAGGATTAATTATAATTTATGTAAAATGATTTTGAAAACAGCAAAGCACTATACAAATGTTAGGTGTTACTGGTGGTATCCTGGTGGTGTGATGGGATGTGGTATGTATGGTATGGTAGAAAAACAGGCACCTCAAATAAGGGACTTATATCACTGAATAAACTCATTAGGGAGAAAGTTTGAGATAAATTCTAAGCTAGAATTCATTCAGACATTTGGGTTCAAAACTCCATTCTGACATTAACTCTGTATTAACTCAGGCAAACTAACTTTCCTTTTCACCTCCTATTTCATCAAAAAGATCCAAGTATGGAACCAGATATTCCATAAATATTATTACAGCCCTATGAGTGTACGAAATGACCCAGTATCCAAGATCCCTTTAACACTATATCCAAAATGCACTCTTTGGTTTGCCAGCAAAACAGAAGTAGAGGGAAACAGAAGACAAGAAATTTTTAATTAAATAAAAGTAGAATTCTATGTAATTCTCTAGAGGCAAAGGAAGCTGTAAACTACCTTGTTTGCTCTAATTAATAATAGTTCTCCCTACATGACAGTAGTGACGGACAAGGTGCATTAACCCAGGGCGGGGCTCCTTCCCACAAGCTTTTTTTGGGAAACACCCACTTCCCAAAAAAGGTATCACTGCTTCCTCCGGGCCCTCAAGAGGCAAGAAACTTGAAAAATACAGGTCTGTGTTGTCCGAGGGAGGATTATTTTCACTTGGGCACGGATGACGGTAGTCATCTATCTGACAAACACATCCTATAAACACCATTATCCACAGCACCACGTCTACCGAAATTCTGAAAAAGATCTGTTTTTAGATAACACTAGGTTAAAAAAAAATGACTCCGGATTATTCACTCAAAATGAGTGGTGATTAGTGGTTGACAAGTGCAAGTTTTCTCTTCCCCAAATTAACCGCCCTCCCGCTTCCCCACAGAGGCGCCGCCTCCCCCTCCGCTCCCGCAGCCCCGCTCCGCGCCGGGACCGGGGAGTCCCCGGGGCCCCGGGGGGCAGGCCGGCCCCCCAGGCCTCCGGCGCCGCCGCCCCCGCTCCTCACCGATGACGCATCGCAGGTGCTTGAGTCGGGTCAGCGCGTCCTTCTTGGTGTCCAGCACCTTTTGGGTAGATTTCTTCACGTCCCCGTGCGGCTTCTTGGAGAACATCCTGCCGCCACGGCCGTCTCCGGCCCCGTCCCGGCCCGGTCCCGGCGGCGGAGAGCGGAGGGAGTGGGCGGGGAGGAGACTAGCGCGAGCGGCTCATTCACTCCCCAACCCTGCGGGCCCCGGGGCAGCCGACTCCTCCCAGACCGAGGCCGGGGCCGGGGCCGGGGCCGGGGCCGCCACCTCCACCCGCCTCGCGCTGCCGGGCGCCTTCGGCTGCGGCCACAATATGGCGGATCCCTCCTCCAGCCGCGCACGGAGCGGGGGAGACCTGGGGAGGCCGCCGCCGCCGCCGCCCGCTTCCTGTGGCCGCAGCTCGCCGCCACAGGCCGGCGCAGGACCGGCGCGGCGGGGGTGGGGCTCCGGGCGTCAGCAACCCCGCTCCCCTCTCCCGGAGGCCCCCTTAAGGTTAAAGCGTCTCTAGCAGCCCAGATCCTGCAGGAGCCGCGAGGAGACGGAGTGTAGGGGATTTCACGACTCTGCCGTCAGTAGAGTAGGGTCTCCGTGGCAACCGCCTTCTGACGTCGACGTCAAAACTTCTTGACGTCATGCCAGCGTGAGATCATCCCTCCCCTTTGGTTTCCCGTGTAAGCAGTCAAGGGAGGAACCCAAGAAAGTCGGAGGAGGTAATGACTGCGTGCGTTATTTTAAGCAAACTCCCAGAAGAGCATCGTATATTTTTTGTTTATAAAGGTCCTTCATCTCTACTGTGTGCTATGTCATAGTAACTTAAGAAAATAGCTCCAAAATATAAAAGCAGAAGTGCAATATATTTTAGGTGCCAATTCTGAAGGCATCGGTTTTAACACCCCTTCATGTACTAAGTTGAATTTTGTTTAAAGGATTTTTGTTTTGCAAAGCGATGATTAACAATTTACTGTAGTTTAAAGATTTGTAGGGTTCTAGTACATCCCTCTTGATTAAAATTGTCTTGTACAAATAAATGAGTTATGCCGTGCCAGAAAAATTACAGGGAAAACACATATGGAGAACTTTAGGGTGAATTTTCCTAATATGTAAAGAGTACACAAATCCAGGAGGAAATTAAGGCACAGGTAGAAAAATTAGTAGAGAACATGGGAAAAAAATCGCATAACTAAAACGTGAAAAATATTCACACTCATTAGTAATTTCAAAAATCAGATTAAAACAAATTTTAAAACAGTTTTAAACAGCTTTATTTAGGTGTAATTGATAGACAATAAACTACACCTTTTCAACGTGTACAGTTTGGTAAGTTCATTGTTTGCATACAACCATAAAAACATCACCACAGTGAAAATAGTGAACAAACTATGCATCACCCCCCAAAATTTCCTTTTGCCCCTTTGTTATCCCTTCCCCCATTCACACCCCCCTGACCCCCAGGCAACCACTGAGCTTTCTTTCACTTAGAGTTTGCATTTTTTAGAGTTTTATATAAATGTAAGCATAAAGTATACTCTTTTGGGAGGGGTCGGGGAGGGGGAGTCTGGCTCCTTTTACTCAACATATATAATTTATTTTTTAACAACAGTGTAATGTTTTATCAGTGAAATTAGTAAAGATTTTTAAATTAGCCATTGATGCTGAGTTTGACACCAGACACTCCTATTGCTTGCGGGGAAGAAGCATTAATTACTACAAACTTACCGGAAATTAAAATTTGGGGTTATGGCCCTGGCCAGATGGTTCAGTTGGTTGGAACATCATCCCAATATGCCAGTGTTTTGGGTTTCATCCCTGGTCAGGGAACATACAAGTGTCACCTAATAAATGTGTGAATGGGTGGAACAACAAATCAATGTTGCTCGCACTCTCTCTCTCTCTCTTTCTCTTTCTTCCCCTTCCTCTCTGTCTCTAAAAATATTTGTCATTATGTATCATGACACAAAATATTTATATACCTTGATTTATTAGTTCCACTTTTAGAACTCTATTCTAAAAAAATTGAAATGGGAAAATTATTTATGTAGCAATATTAAAGCATAATTAATAACACTGAAAGACTGGAAACAATATGAATGTCGATCAAAAAGGAGATGATTATTCAAAAGATGGAATGTTATACAGCCATGAAAATTACTAATGTGAAAACTTTTTAATGACATGGAAAATACTCAAGACAATGTTAAGTGAACTTAAAAGCAGATACCCAAACTGAAAGTATGTATGTTATCAAAGCTGGAAAATATTATGCATATAAATTATAGTTAGAAAAAATATTTTAAAATACTCTAAAATTGTGATTATATCTGCAAAGTATAATTGCAGATGATTTTCTTTTTTTTTTTTTTTTTTATATATTTTATTGATTTTTTACAGAGAGGAAGGGAGAGAGATAGAGAGTTAGAAACATCGATGAGAGAGAAACATCGACCAGCTGCCTCCTGCACATCTCCCACTGGGGATGTGCCCGCAACCCAGGTACATGCCCTTGACCGGAATCGAACCTGGGACCTTTCAGTCCGCAGGCCGACGCTCTATCCACTGAGCCAAACCGGTTTCGGCAATTGCAGATGATTTTCATTTTCTTCTTTATAGCTGCTTAGTTTCTTTTATTTTTTACAAAAAGCATAAATGGCTTTTAGAATTTAAAAAACAAGTTTTTAAAGAAAAAAATTCTAATGCACCAATTTTAAACTCACAACATAAATCAAGATATATAGAAACAGAAACTCCTTAAAATAAGGGCTTTATTAAAAATTTATCTTTATGTCCTATAGCACAGAATAAGTATTTTTTTGATATTTAGATTGTTATGCTTACATTATAAAATGTGTTCTTTTGATAATAGAAGAGTCATTCTGACTATCATTTATTTGGTGATTTTAGACATTTGTGTCCCTGCCTATAACCCAAGTCTCTTTTCTGAGATATTAATTGGACCTCGCCGTTTAGAGATTCCACAAACTACTCAAACGTAATATATATACATAAAACTGTACTTGTAGTCTTTGTCCTGCCTCCCCAAATCTTATCTTTCTTCTTCACCAACTATCTTCACTGATAATACCATTTATCAATCCAGTTTTTCAATCCAGAAATTGGTATCATCTTAAGGCTTCTTCTTCTCTCTTGTCCAGTCAGTTACCAACACCTGATGATTCTACTTTCTAAACATTTCTTGATTCGGTCCTCTTCTCTCCATTTTCACAACCTTTATTCAGGTTCATGTGTGCTAGAAATGGCAGTGACTTACTCCCCACCCCGACAGCGTAGCAGGATTTGAGCACCCATTCCTTTCTAAGGAAATTTTAAGAATTGAAAACACACAAACACAAACCATGCTCCACTGTCCAAGTTAGACTTCAGCATTCTAGCACCCTGGGCAAAGCAAGTGTGTTGGTAATGGGGCACATAACCAGGTCAGTCCAATCACACTCCTGCAAGTATTGGAAAAGAGAAACTCCTTTTTTCCAAGATGATGGCTTGGAATTGCTAGGAACAAACATGTGAAAGGAATTGCTGAGGATTAAGCAACAATCCAAGAACAGAGGGGATAGTTAGAAAGGAATAGAGTGCGTCTTGATAACATTCTTTGGGCATTTGGAGCCAACTTGCCTAAGTACAATGATCTTTTCTATTTCACAGGCCAATAAAGTCCTTATTTTGCTCAAGCCAGTTTCAGTCCTTTGCAATAGGAAAAATCCTGATTTACACATTTTAAAGTTATTCTCCTAGGCTGAGTAGGGATTACAAATTTTAAAAAGCAAACAAAAACAAAATTGCTTGTAAATAATATTGCAGTATTCTCTGAAATCCTCCAGCAGTACTTCCTTTTGTCTTTACCATGACATTCACCACACTCTGTTGTAGTCATTCTATGCTTCATCTCCATTATATTGGACTGTAATCTCTCCTTAAGACAGGTTTTTGGGTATGGCTGGTGTGGCTCAGTGGTTGAGCATCAACCTATGAATCAAGAGGTCGCGGTGTGATTCCAGTTGGTCGGGGCACTTGCCTGGGTTTTGGGCTGGATCCCCAGTGTGAGACATGCAGGAGGCCACTGATCAGTGATTCTCTCTCATCATTGATGTTACTATCTCTCTCTCCCTTTCCCGTCCTCTGTGAAATCAATAGAAATATATATTTTTTTAAAAGGGGGGTTTTGGCAAAAAAAAATTTTTTTATAAATAAATAAGGGCAAGCCACTTGGGCCCCCTCCCTGTTGCAGAGAATCTGCAACAAACTTTGCTTCCACTTAAAAAAAAAAAAAAAAGGACAGGTGTGTGTGTGTGTGTGTGTGTGTGTGTGTGTGTGGTGTGTTTCATGTTCCACAATTCAAGGCTCCAAGGGTTGTCTTCTTCTCTCTTTCCCTCCTTCCCCCTCTCTCTTTCTGTCTTCCTCTCTATATATCTGTATCTGCTTCTCTCTTTCTCTGCCCTCCCAATGGTACCAGGCACGTGGTAGACATTTTCATGGAAAGCATGAGTAAATACTAGACACTCAATAAATGCTTACTGATTTTATGCAAATATAATAAAGTTGCTGTTTTTTTGCTGTCAATTCCGGAACAGTAATCTGCCTGTCGGGGGACACCAGAAATGCAGAGAGGATGATGGAAGGAGGACAAAGACAGGAGCAGACCAAAATGTAAGCAAAGCCAATCTTTTACTTCACAGGCTTTGATTCATTGGGAAACATGTTTTATGCTTTTCTTAAGGTTTGAGGTGGAATTTTTTTAAAAAAAATACGTTGATCTATTTAAATGTTGGGTGTTAAGTTGATATTAGGATCGTAAAATATCAGAATGTTGTATATGGTTGAGAAAAGAATAAGGATATAAAGAATAGGATAAAAGGAAAAGAAGAAGAATGTTAGCCTTTATTAAACATTTCCATGATTTATCTGTGAAAATGAGCATAAGTTGTGGTCACCAGAGACAAACAGAAAGATAAACTTGGAGGCTATAGTTGGGGCAATTTATTGTGTCCTAAATCTATTACTAAGAATTATTTCCATATGCTATTTATGTGTTTTCTTTCATACATTTTTTCTGTTTGCTATATCATAACCGAGCTTTTTAGCTGCAAACAACTTGACAACAAAAAGACTTTTAAGCAGAACTTTGTTTTCTATAAAATTAATCTTGGTTTTCTTTCTATTACTTATATTCTTTTTTAAATCCTCTTTTCCTTATTTGTACCCCGTGTAAACATGGATATGTTGTCACTTTTTCATCTGCAAAGAAAAAATTGATATCCTATCACATTGATGGAGTCAGCCAAAGAATCTGCAGTAACTGAAAAAATCAGTGAAATTCTGCATGCTACAAATTAAAATTGTGCTTGGAAAACCTCCTCTATAAAATAATTTCATTAGGAGTGAGCCTGCTTGTTTGTGAAGTTGTTTCCTCCAGCGTTCTCACTCATAGTGTTGTGGGTGGGTACTAGGCTCTCCCATGGGATCAGGAGAAAAAAAATTTCTGGTTACATGCATGGGAGATTGTGGTCTTGTGGCAGGATTTATTCGGGAAATCTGCCCCAGCCCCTTGGGTTTCCAATGTCCCAGCTCTTTCTGTCCCACCATGGGAAAAAGTCCAGCCATGTCTTCAGCAGGACCAAAATAAAAGCCAGTTTCCAGAATTTGTGCTTCATCTTACTCCTTGGGGGTCTGCACAGTCTTCTGCAGGCCCCAGATGGCCGCTAGACCTGCATAGCCATGTTTTCCTGGGTGAGTGCAGACCAGAGGGGCGGGGGTGGGGGAGGGAGAGAAGAGGACAGGGATTAACCAGGAGCTTTTTCTAAATAACCAATCAACTTTCCAAGTTTTCATAGGCTTCTGATGGAGTCCACCCCCTAGCCAAAGATCTTTTTCTCAGTTAGACTGACAGGCCTCTATGGCCAAGCACCTCCCCTTGTGCCATTTTGACTTCTATTGCGCATGTCCTCATCTGCTCCCGCTTCCCCCTTAATCCAGTACCAGAGGTGGGAAAAGGGAAGGGTGTTAATCCTTGGCCAGGCAATGCTGGAACCCCTGGAATGTGTGTGAAACTGTAGCTTCCTGGAGAAGCAAAACAGGCTCAATGTTCCCAGCTGACCATGCTTAACAATGTCTGGCTTCCCTTGTTCTCTTCCTATTAATAACTAGCTAACTACGGTAACAATAGTACTAGCCCTTTCCAAAATATTTGATCAGCAAAGAAAAATTTAAAAATACAGCAAAGAAGGGAGCTGGAATACTTTTGCCCAAATTAGGTTTAAAAACAATACTTTGCTTAATTGTAGCTTGTTTCAATGACAATATTATAATATTTTTTAGGTTTACAAAAATCTATTTAGTTCCTCCATGCATGGCTTACATGTTTTTATCATCAAGGTTACAGGGCTTGTTTTGAGGAAGCATTATGATATATTGGAAAAATAATGAATTATTCAAGGGATTTGGGTTCTAATTCCTTACAGTATCAGTTTTCTCATTAGTAAAATCAAGATAGGGTTTTGTGAAATTTAGAAATTAATACTGTGTTTTCAATTACGATTTTTATAATTACATCTGAATTAGACATTCCATTTCAGCATTTACTTGCTCTGGGATCCCTGGCATATAGTTTAATCTCTTTGAGCCTTGTTTTCCTCACACGTAAACTATATCAGTACTTGTGATAATTAGGTGAGAAATGCTATTGGAAGTTACTTCTATAATGGCTGACACATCTTATAACATTCCTTTCCTTCACAGAATTTTAATAAGCCAATTTATGTAATTGTTTAAAGATTTGCTCTCCCACTAAACTGTAAACACCCTGAGGACAGACACCATGTAGGTTTGTTTAAAGCTGTATTTCAGTCTTCTTGCAAAGTGCCCTTTGCAAAATGCCTTTAATAAATATTTGTTGAGTAGGAAGACTGAATGTCAGTTTGCCTCCCTTTCTCTTGCACAGGCATACAATAACTCTTTGGTGAAAGAATTAAAAATTTTAGTATATAAAAAAATGTAACATGCCATTAATAATCCTATATAATAAAACCCTAATATGCAAATTGACCTAACGGTGGAACGACCTGTTGCTATGACTCACACTGCCCCCCTGAGAGGGAGGTGACCAGCAGCAGCAAGAGCGGCACCAGGCCACCAGCCAAGGTGGGAGCCAGCAGGGGTGGAGGTGGGGGGAGGGGGCGGGGGGCGATTGCCCTGCCTGCTGGTCACCCCACAGATGGCCTTAATCGCCGGCCAGGCCTAGGGACCCTACCCTATATATTGGGAACAGTCTCTTAGATTTAAAAATTAAAACCTGGCAAGGCTACTCTAACACTGAAAAAAACAGGATGATGCAGCGATGACATGCATGGACTCTGGCTTACACATCTTGTGGTCAGCCCTGATTCTGACACTTTTAACTGTGTGACAGAGCCAATTACTTAACTTCTCTCTGCTTCAGTTTTTCCACCCATGTGATAGGGAAAATAGTACTACTGCCTCAAAAGGATGTTATGTACTACTTTTTATAATCAGGGCAAAAAAATGTAGCTGCCCGTACACAGCAAGATGCCTTTCACCTATATGAAAAGTATGGTCACTGATGCATGCAGCGTCCTGGATTGTGAGAGGGATGTCCGACTGCCGGTTTAGGCCTGACATCCCCCGAGGAGTCCCAGATTGCGAGAGGGTGTAGGCCGGGCTGAGGGACTCTCCCCTCTCCCCCATGCATGAATTTCGTGCACTGGGCCTCTAGTAATTATATAGCTGGCATACTTGAGGAAAAAAAGAAATACTATTACAAACCAAATTGGCATAAATGTAATTTAGATATAACATATCCAAACCACTGCCTGATTTTCTCTTCCCAAGGACTTAAATACTAAAATGTTTTGAAAGTATAAGCCAGCCGTGGGCAAACTACGGCCCGCGGGCCGGATCCGGCCCGTTTGAAATGAATAAAACTAAAAAAAAAAAAAGACCGTACCCTTTTATGTAATGATGTTTACTTTGAATTTATATTAGTTCACACAAACACTCCATCCATGCTTTTGTTCCGGCCCTCCGGTCCAGTTTAAGAACCCATTGTGGCCCTCGAGTCAAAAAGTTTGCCCACCCCTGGTATAAGCTCTCTCCACTAGAGACATACTTACTATGAAAAGAAAACCCAGAAAATTATCTTTGAAATTTTTTGCTCCTTAAAACTTGAATTCAAACTTATGCTTAAGCCATGAACATTCCAGGAAAAATAGGTCATCAAATTTGCCAAATGTGAACATACTATATTACTATTTTATATAAAACCAGGTTTATTCCAATTTAAGAGATTTTTAAAAACTAATAGATTAGTTTTTAATAGACTTTATCTTCATGAATCAGTTTTAGATTCACAGCGAAATTGAGAGGAAGGTGATTTCCTACATATTTCCTGCCCCCATACATGACAGCCTCCTTCAGTATCACTATTCCCCACCAGAATGGGATACATTTGTTACAACTGATGAACCTACATTGACCAAGGACCATAGTTTACAACAAGATTCATTTTTGGTCATTTTTGGTGATATACATTACAAATGTATGATATATGTCCACTATTATAAATATCATACAGAGTATTTTCACTGCTCTAAAAATCCTCCATGCTCCACCTATTCATCCCTCCACCTAATCCCTGGAAACCACTGATCTTAAATAGACTTACTTTTTTAAAACAATTTTAAAATTTACAGGAAAATTGAGCCAATAGTATAAAGAGTTCCTATATGACTAATTCCCACACAGTTTCCCTTATTATTATTGTCTTATGTTATTATGCAATATTATCATTGAAGCAATAATATGTTATTATTAACTATATAGCTTATTCAGATTTCCTAATGTTCTTTTTCTGTTCCATATTCTTATCCAGGATACCTTATTATATTTATTTATCAACTTCTTATGATCCTCTTGGCCTCTTGGCTATGATAGTTTCTCATATTTTGATAACCTTGAGAGTGGTGGTCAGGTTTGTTGACGGATGCCCCGCTATTGAAATTTGTCTGATGTTTTTCTCATGAGTAGGCTGAAGTTGTAGGTTTGGGGGAGGAAGATCACAGAAGCGCAGTTGATGATAACCTTGATCAACTGGCTGAAGTGTTGTTTGACAGGTGTGAGAAATACGCTCACCAGTCCAAAATTTTAAAAAATGGACATGGAGACACGAATTAAGGCGAAAGCTAGGCATTTAATGTCAGTCTTTCAAGATCGGGTGTCTGGTGGAAAGGCATGCCCAAAGTGGTTACAACCAGCATTTTATTCCCTAGTGCACAGCTCACTCCCCTGGTTCCTCATTGGCTGAGTACTGTGGATGTACAATCTTCCCAGATGTCATTTAGGTTTCATTATTTCCTTATAGGGTCTTCTTTCTTTCCCCTTCCCCAGTTTAAATTCCTTTGTTAGTTGATCCCTCCCCAACGTCCTGTTTCCCCGGGGACTCTCCAGGTGCATGAACTTTGTCACATCTGCAGTCCGCAGGCCACTATGCAAGCAAACTACCAGTAATTTTCCATTCAGGGTTAAATGCCTTGTCTTAAAAATGGACCACCACTGACTTTATTTCTAATAAATCCCCTCCTCTTTTCTTTTTACTTTTACTGGTCTTATTTTCACTCTTGTATTTTCTGCTTTTCAGATTGTAGAACCTGTTGACTTTCCTCATCATAGGAGAGTGAATCTAATTTGGTTTCTAATAATAGCAAATTATTTTGTTGATAAGTCATGGGCATCTGCTTGTTAATAGCTGCCTCAATTAGTCTCTGTGCTAATCCTCTTACACAGGGGACAATACAACACCCTATCACTGTCAGGACTTCTGCTACAATGATGAGAGATGGAAGAATCGAGGCCTTTAAGCCTTTGCATTTTACAAACCATTCTTCCAACCATCCAGTGAAGGGGTCATCAATGCCAGCATTTTCGGCCAGTTCATTAGCCAAAGTCGTTAGTCCTTGGAGTGCCTTTGTGATTATGCCATCAGGAGCTGTGTTATTGGGAATGAAGGCACAACACTTTCCTCCCAACATAACACAAACACCCCTTTCTCTGCCAGTATCATGTCTAGCACTATTCTGTTTTCCCAAGCCATCTGGCTAGTGACATCCAACTGACTAGCTACCCACTGAAGAGCATCCTGGGTGTAATTGATAAATTTCTTCTGATTATAATAGATGTAGTTAATCCCAGTCCACATTTTTATTGATAGTGGACCATCAGAAGAGTGCAGACTCAAATCTAGCGGCTACCTGCTTGTAGGCCTTAAATTCATTGGGAACCCCTGTTGAGTCAATATATATATTGGAGTCAAAAGATCTGCTATTCTCTCCATGCCGGTGCTTACTTTCATTCTTTTTGGGTACCTGGTGGAATGCCAGGGTGAATGGAATGGCCAATTGAAATAGGGCATAGGTCCCAGTTCAATTGGATGGTGATGAGTCATGGAGGTTCCTTTTCCCACAAACCACCAGATGTCAGCCTGGGGTATGTGGAGAGCTGAGTAATTGCCAACACTTGACCCATTGGTGACATTTAAGACACTGGTGCAGGTTGTCTGCTCTCCCACAGGTCTAGTGAATTCTGCCCTCTGCCTAGAGAGGCAAGAGGAGTAGTTCACGTTCCCTACAGAGAAAGAGGGGATTGTTCTAAGGTCTGATCTTTGGAAAGTGGGAAGGACCAAGGCAGATTCTTATAGGAGTCATTTCCCCATGCATCTTGTCTTGGTACAGGGCCAGCATGCAATATGTTCTGCCAGGATCAGTATCCCATCCGAGGGGAAATGGAACCATCTGCGCTTGTGGCCATCCAGCAGCATATGCATAGCAATTGCTCTTGTTAAGTGCCTGTACTATACACTGAGTGGCCAGATTGTTGTGACCACCTGACGTTTGTAGGCAAATTAGCTATAATTTCGTGCTAAAGATATGGAAGCTGAAGGCCTGTTTGAACACCTTTGCTGTCTGCAGTTACCAAGATAAAACGTCTCCAATTCACACAGGAACAAGATAAAACGTCTCCAATTCGCACAGGAACACAAGGATTGGACAGTCGAGCATTGGAAAAAAGTCATGTGGTCTTATGAATCACATTTCCAGTTGCATCATGCAGATGGCAGAGTGAGAATTTGGCGGAAACAGCATGAAAGCATGCACCCCACATACATGAGTACAACCCTTCAAGCTGGTGGGGGCAGTGTTATGGTTTGGGGAATGTTTTCCTGACATGATTTGGGCCCTTTAATTCATGTGGAACAACGTCTGAATAGCACAACATACCTAAGTATCACTGCTGATCAGGTTCATCCTATCATGTTGATGGCGTATCCCAGTGGAGATGGCTTCTTCCAACAAGACAATGCGCCATGCCACGGTGCTCGTATTGTGCAGGAGTGGTTTCAAGAATATGAGGGAGACTTTACCTTGCTTAGGTGGCCCCCACAATCACCAGATCTCAATCCAATTGAGCATTTGTGGGATGAAGTTAAAAGAGCCATCAGGCAGCTGGTTCCACAACCATCAAATCTCACAGAACTGGGCAGTGCTATTCATCAGGCATGGTGTCAGATTCCTTGCATCACCTTTCAACATCTCGTGGAGTCAATGCCAAGAAGAATCGCCCCAGTATTGAAGGCAAAAGGTGGCCCAATGAAGTACTGATGGGGTGGTCATAATAATCTGGCCACTCAAGTTCAAATATATCCCATGTTCAAAGGCTGTTAAATCGCGTTGTTTACCCATATCTTCAGAAAAAAATCACTTCTACTGTCGTGGTAAACAACCTGCTTCCCTATTTATAATGGTCTGGCCCTCTAGCAACTTGAGCGTGAAATTATAGCTAATTTGCCTATAAACGTCAGGTGGTCATAATAATCTGGCCACTCAGTGTAAACTAGACCCATTCAACCCAGGCATTTGTATCACCATACCCAGTTTCTATTTCTAGAGTCTGCCTTAAATCACTTACCTCAACTAATTCCACTCTCCTGGGGTCTATATTAGGTGATGTTAGTTCTGATTCAGATGTATTAGAAGTTATATTCTTTTCTACTTTAGGAGGGTTTTGAATTTCTATTCTAACCCTAGCAGTTGGATCTCTACCAGTAAGATCTATCCCAAACCCATAAGTTCTATTAACTTCACTATCTGGAACTTTTATAGTCAGAAGGATAGGGTTATATCCTAGGTTTTGACAGTTTGGGCCTGGGGACTTTTCAAACATATGTCATTTTGACTTTAGAGGTTTTCCCTGTGAATAGGAGGCAGTCCAGCCTTGATATTGAGTAGTCCACCAGACATTGCTCCAGCCTGGGCATGGTGGACCTGTGTATCGAGGACTGGAAGAGGAGGTTTGCTGTTCAGGGCATAAATATTTTTCAGAGCTGCTTAAGGCTCTCTGGTCTTCTAAATTTCCACAAGATATAATTTGGCAGGCATCAAACTTAATAGTTTGGGGCGCCAAAGTCTTAGTTACATTGATCACTTGTTTGACCAGGTACCTAGCGTTTGCACTTTGCATAACAACACATCCAAGACAAAGTAATCTGGGAGACAGAGAGCCAGGCCATGATTGGGAGGAGGATTAGTGTGTCTTTCTTTTTTTTTTTTTAATATATTTTATTGATTTTTTTACAGAGAGGAAGGGAGAGGGATAGAGAGTTAGAAACATCAATGAGAGAGAAACAGTGATCAGCTGGCTCCTGCACACTCCCCACTGGGGGCATGCCCGCAACCAAGGTACATGCCTTTGACGGGAATCGAACCTGGAACCATTGAGTCCACAGGCTGACACTCTATCCACTGAGCCAAACCAGTTAGGGCTAGTGTGTCTTTCTTTTTAGGACTACCTTGAAAGGGTTTTTTTTTGTTGACACTAGCACCTTCCACTGATCTCCTTCCCCGCCTCCCAGATTATCTTTTACCAGTCCCTTGACTCAAGTGTAATGAGTCCACCCCTTTTCAGCTGTTTGTATGGTTATTTCGGTAGTCAGGAACACCTGATAGGGACACTCCCTGGTGACCATGATGAACCACGAATTTAAGAGGTGGGGTCTGGGCAAGGAATCCTTTTAACCTGAGGAATGACAGGATAGAGAATATGGCCAGTATGTAGTTTCTCAAAAATTGATCTTTGGTTTTTATGGTAGGGAGATCTGGAGCTCTGCCCAGGTGTGGGAGCCCATATAACATCTCATAAGGGGACAGCCCCACATCTTTCCTTGGAGCTGGCCTAACCCCGAGGAGTGCTATAGGAAGACATTTTGTCCAAGGTAGTTTGGTTTCTAAGATTATTTTGATAATTTGCCTCTTAAGGGTCTGGTTCATTCTTTCCACCCTTTCTGAAGATGGGGGATATAAGGGGGTGTGATAGTCCCAATTAATGACTAATCCTTCCATTCTCCTCAACACTCTTGAGGTAAAATGACTTCCATTGTCTGAGTCAGTGTTCTCCACCAGGCCAAACCTGGGTATGATTTGCTCCAAGATTATCTTTATGACACTCCCTGCAGTGGCGGCCACAAGGGGAAAGGCTTCCACCCATCCACTATTATCAGTAGGTATCTTTGTCATCCCACCCTAGGCATTTCTGTGAAGTCTACCTGAATGCTCTGAAATGGTCTTAACCCTTTCATCTGTCTCCTTACCACCTTTTTGTTGTTCTTTGGCAAGTCACACATCCCCCACACACCTGTTTAGCAATGGTATAGATACCCACACACCCATAATTCCTAAATATTGTATCACACATGGTTTGCGGACCCTAATGACTCTCCCTATGCAGTATGGACATCAGCTTCCTCATCATGGGCTTATCATTTCCCATCAGGGAGCACCCATCTTCTGTCTCCTGTTTTAATTGCTCCTATTTTATCTAATTCCTTTTCTTCCTCTTTAGTAAACTGGGGACTTAATGTTACCTTTGGACGACTTGGGATCAAACTAAAGAGTCTGTTTCCTTCCTCCAGAGTGGCTTGTTTGGCAGCCTCATCTGGGAGTCTTTATCTACAGCCTCCATAGAGCCTCCCTTCTGGCGTCTGTTTACATGGACAACAGCCACTTCTGTCAGGAGTAAAAGACTTTCTAAGACTTGCTTGACTAATTCTTCGTGGACCAATTCCTTTCCCTTGCTGTTTATGAAACCCCGTTCTGTCCAAATTTTTCCAAAAGTATGCACTACTCCACAAGCATATTTAGAGTCAATGTATATAGTGCCTTCTTGGCCTTCAAGCAGTTTTAAGGCTTAGTTAAGAGCGTATAATTCACAGGTTTGGGCTGACCAACTGTTAGGTAGTCTACCTCCCTCACACAAGGAATGTTTGGTTCCATTAATGATAGCGTAGCCATTTTGTCTCTTTTCCTCGATTACCCAGGATGACCCATCAACAAACAGCTTGGCCCCGTCATGCAGTGGGACCTCACTTAGGCTTGGCCTGACCTTAATTTGGTATTCCATGATGTCTAGGCAGTTGTGTTCGGATGCTTCCTGGTTTTCCTCTACCTTCCATAGAAACCTGGCAGTGTTCAGGCAGCCATAGGTGGTCAAAACCAAATCATCCCTTTCTAATAATATGGCCTCATACTTCAGAATTCGGGAGTCTGTCAGCCATCTCCTGGTTCTTTGATTTAGTATGCTCCTGACCTGATAGGGATTGCTTACTATTAAGGCTCCTCCAAAAGTTAATTTCCTGCTCTCCTCTACCAGTAAGGCAGTAGCCGCCATGGCCTGCACACATTCAGTCCATCCTCTGGAAATGGGGGTCAAGGAGTTTGGAAAAGAAGGCTACAGGTTGTTTTTTAACCCCCAGGTCTGGGTGAGCACCCCAAGGCTACTCCCTGGTCCACTGTTACAAACAAATGGAACAGTTTCTCCAAAGATGGTAGGGCTAGGACTGGGGCTAAAATGAGAGCTTGTTTTAGTTCCTCTATTGTCGGAATTTCCTCTGGAATCCATATTAGGTGGTCAGGTTCTTCTTCTCACAGCTTGAGATATAAAGCCTTTGTCTTTTGAGCATATGAGTCAATCCACAACCAGCCATAACCAGTTATTCACAAGAACTTTCTGAGCTCTCTTTTCATTTTGGGTATAGGCAGACTCACTATGTCTGATATCTTCTCTGGGTTTATTCGTATTTTTCCTTCACTAATGAAATGCCCTAAGTACTTAACTTCTTTTTCTACAAATTGTAACTTATTTTTGGAGATGTGCAAACCATTTCCTCCCAGAAAGTTGAACGGATTTGTGGTAGTTTCTGACACTTTATCTTTCCTTTCCCTAGATATGAGGAGGTCATCTACATACTGTAGAAGCTGGGCCCCTGTAAGAGGTTGAAACTCCTCTGGTACTCTTCAGAATCTGGCCAAATAAATTTGGGGGCTCCATAAAGCCTTGTGGTAACATGGTCCAGCTGTACTGTTGTTTTCTCCTGCTTGTTGGATTCTCCCACTCAAAGGCAAAGAGGTCTCTGCCCTTAGTATCTAGACGACATGCCCAAAATGCATCTTTTAGCTCCACTACACTGAACCATTTGTGTTCAAATGGGATTTTGCTGAGGAGAGTGTATGAGTTAGGCACAATAGGATGGCGGGCCTGGACAATCTGATTTGCAGTCCTCAAATTCTGCACTAGTCTGTATGACCCATCAGGTTTCTTGACCGGGAGGATTGGAGTGTGGTACAGTGACATACAGGGCTCCAACAGTCCATCTTTAATTAATCCCTCCATTAATGGTTGTAGGCCCCTCCTTCCTTCAGTAGGGGCGGGGTATTACCTTCTACAAACTATTTTCCCCAACTGTATTAGCTGAATTTGTAATAATGTGATTTTTAATCCTCCCCTGTTGCCTTCCTTTACCCACACAAGGGAATCAATCTTCTTTTCCTCCTCTTCTATCAGAAGGACCATCATTACTTTTATTTGTCCTTCTTCTACCCCTAATCCTAGACCAAACCTCACAATCAAGTCCCAACCCAGAAAGTTAACTCCTGCCTCAGGGACATATAATAGTAATCCCTCAATTTGTTCTGATCCCATCATGAGTAACATTTTCATGAAAAATGGAACCTGAAATTCCTCCCCTTTTACTCCTGATGCAGTTAATTTTTCCTTAGATAATTCTGTACCCTTTGGTTGATACATAAGAGAGGAGAGAGCAGCCCCGGTATCAATAAAAAAAGTCACCTCTTCTCCCTCCAGTCCCACCTTCAAATTTACCAAGAGTTCTGGTGGGATCTAGTCAGAAAGAACCTCTGACCCCCCCTAATCCTCATCGAAGGTCATGAGGAGAATCACCTTTTCCTCTTTTTTTTAAATTTTGGGCACTCTCTTTTAAAGTGTCCTGGCTTTCCACACTTGTAACACCCATTTGTATTTTTAGAAGTTTTCCAGTGCATTTCCCTTTGGTCTTTCTGCTGACACCTAGGGTTAGCATTTCTCCACTCCTGCCAGGAGAAGTCTTAACCTGTTCGCTTTCTGACCACCTCTTCTACAGTGGAGACCATGATTTTTGCCTTTTGTTTCTCCTCCTTTCTTCTTACAAAGACTTTCTAAGCTTCTTAGTAATTCTTCTATTGGTTTTGCATTCCAACCCTCAATCTTTTGCAACTTTTTGGTAATGTCCGGCCAGCTGTTGTTCACAAAAGTGACCTTCAAAAGGCCCTATCCTATTGGGTCTAGGCCCCAGAGTATTTTCTCATCTGATCTCTGAGTCTTTGTAAGAAGGCCAAAGGGGTTTCCTCCTTCTCTTGTTGGACCTCAAATGCCTTATACACATTTGTGATGTAGGAGACTCTTTTATCCCCTTAATTATAAGTTCTATGAGGTCCTGCATTTGTGCTTGGTCCCTGAGGTCATTGTTATACCAGTTGGGGTTGACATTGAGGAACTTTTGTTCTGCTAGCAAGACCCCTTGCCCGTGGAGAATATTGTCTCTCCTTGGTCATGGTTGCCCTTCTGATCATTCCTCTCCCTTCCCCTGTAAATAAGATGTTCATGATGGATATCATCTCAGCCCAGGTATAGAAGCTGGGTCCTGAGAACTGGTCCATCTGTTCTGCTAAACCCAGGGGATCTTCTAAAAGGGATTTCATCTCTTTCTTAAAATTTCAACCTCTGTACCTGTGAGGGGAGCATTCACAAAACCAATTTCTCTTGTTCCATGGGGACCTCTTGGAGAGGAAACATTGGTTGTTTAGAAGGGATTGGCAAGTTTTCAGTGTCTTTCTTCCATTGCTCTAATTCTTTTCCTAGATTCGGGTTAGGAGCAGTTGGCTGAGCTCCCCCACAATCTTTAGTCCCTGTCTCTTCTGACTCCTTGGTTGCCCTCTGCTCCTCCTGCTCCCCAGTCTGTGGAATATAAAAAGGAGGTAAGCATGATAAGGGGTCCCAGAGTTTTTCCTTAAGGCCTTCCTCTTCTTCTTTAAGAGGAAATATGCAGGCCTTTCCCAGTAACCAGCAAAGGGCATAATCTTTCTCCGCCTGTGTGGACAAGGTCTTTTCATTCCCATAAATAACTAGAGTTTGGCACACCCAGTCTTCATCTGAGCCAAACTTGGGCCAAAAGATAAAAGGTCTATGAATTGGTCTTTAGGCCATATAAAACAACAGTATTTGATCATCTTTCGTTTCTTCTTGTCTTTGGTTGAGGGGCTGTTTACCCAGAACCTCAGCATCCCCCACAGTGGACTATCCAGGGGAATGTCTAAGGGAGCCTCCTTGGCTGCACTTCCATTGGTTTCCCTAGGCCTAGAATTCTTGTTCCCCATTTTCAGCAGGTCCCTGTGACTATCCCATGTGCTCAACTGCCCGTACTGGAGGATTCTTGCATGCTCTGAGATTCGCTTTGTCTGTCTCCAGTCATTTCCCTCACAGGAGAACAAATCCACAGATCAGGACTCCGCACTTGCTTCCTACCTAGGACACGTCTCAGACACACACACTCAACCTCCGAAAATACCCAACCACTCAGGCAGTACTTATAGGCCAATTTTCCTACCTTGGCTCATGCACAGGGTTGCCTGATTGCTGTGGTGCTTGCTTTTTCTCCCCTGTGTCACCCTCACTGTCTTCCAAATAAAAGTCTCGGGCTTGTCTATGGCTTCCGCAGAGAGTCGGGGCACACAGGCAGAGCAGGCCACCCAAAATTGGGTGGGATGCATCGTCCCCTCAACTGGGGTCATGCTCCATGCAGGCACAGAGATCCTAGACAAGGCCTTAAAATTGTGAGAAACATGCTCACCAGTCCAAAATTTTTAAAAATGACCATGAAGATACGAATTACAGCAAAAGCTAGGCATTTAATGTCTGTTTTGCAAGATTGGGTGTCTGGTGGCAGGCACGCCCAAAGTGGTTACAACCAGCATTTTATTCCCTAGTGCACAGCTCATTCTCCTGGTTCCTCATTGGCTGAGTACTATAGGGTGTACAATCTTCCCTGACGTCACCTAAGTTTCTTTATTTCCTTACTAGAGGCCCAGTGCATGAATTCGTGCACGGGTGGGGTCCCTCCGGGTGGCCTGCAGAGATCAGGCCCCAGTTTGCACCCGTAGCCTTGCAGCTCCACAGCCCCGCCTGGCACCCCACCTTGGCCTGGCGCCACCCCCGCACCTGCTCCACCATCCTGCCTGCGGGGTGATCTATCGGGGCCAGCCCCTCACCCCCCCGTCACCGCTGCTGGTCGCTGTCTGCGGGGCGATCGGTGGGGCGATCGGTGGGGCAGTCGGACCCCTGCTCGCACCCACCTTGGCCTGGCGCCGCCTGCTCACCTGCTCAAACAAGCAGCAGTTGGTGTGAGTGTGCCCCATACCTCTCAATAAGAGGCTCAAGACCCAGAACTAGCACCAGCCTGCTTTGCTTCACAACTGGGTCTTGCCTGGGCACTTCACAAGCCCACTACAGGTAGCAGCCATCTGCAGACCTCTCTGTAGCTCCTGCTGGGTGGGCCCAAGCAGTGGCTGACTTTGTACTTCCCAAGAGGCACCAGAGCCAGTGCACCCCATGGACAGCTTCAGACCACAACAGATTACAACTCTACACATCCACAAGCGACACACTCAAGGGGCAGACTCAGGAGCAACAAAGCCACACTCTGTTGCAAGTCCTGCTCCATAACGGTGTCTCCTGCACAGCTCTTCCACTATAGTCACAGCTGGTCCTCACAGCCAATTAGCTTGGTGGTCAATTCCTCTCAGTGACACCAAGAGCAATCAAGACTCAACTACAACAAGGCTGTGCACACAGGCCATACAAGGGCATACCTAGAATGCCCACCTCAGGTGAGTGGGGTGGCTGAGCCACTGGGCCCTACAGGACACATATTACACAAGGCCACTCTGCCAAAACAGGAGACCTCGCAGCTCTACCTAATACATAGAAACAAACACAGGGAACAGCCAAAATGCAGAGACAAAGAAACATGTCACAAGTGAAAGAACAGAAGAAATCTCCAGCCCAGAAAAAGAACTAAATGAAATGGAAGCAAGCAAACTACTAGATACAGAGTTCAAAACAGTGATTATAAGGATGCTCAAGGATCTTAATGAGAGCTTCAAGGGACTTAGTGAGAATTTCAAGGATCTTAGTGAGAATGTCAAAGACATGAAAAGAGACCAGTCAGAAATTAAGCATATACTAACTGAAATAAAGAACATAGTGTGAGGAGCCTCTGGGAAAACTTTAAGAATAGCCAAATTCTCATTGTGGTGTGTCAGAAGGAGAAGAGAAAG